GAGAGAGAGAGAGAGAGAGAGAGAGAGAGAGAGAGAGAGAGAGAGAGAGAGAGAGAGAGAGAGAGAGAGAGAGAGAGAGACAGGATGTGTTGGAGTGGTGTCCTCCTTCTAATCTTCTGAACAAGTTTGGTATTCGGCGCGAGTCGCCCTTGTCTTTTTTATCGACATCTTGGACTTTTTCCTTTGTTTGATGTGTGGATGTCTTCCACACTTCCCCTCTCTTAATTGGTAGTCTGATTGGTTAGTTACATGCGATCGAATCTTGTGTGATCCGCGGGCCAATGGCCAGAGAATTGATGCACGGAGATTATCGACTCCTTTGGTTTGTGTGTGTATGCTTGGAGTTGGATGCATAGATGTTTGTTGTGCTTCTATTTGAGTATGGATTAGATGAGCATGCTAGATGATTATATGCTTGTCTCACTATAGGATTACTCGTTGTGTGAGCTGCTGGCCTTCATCCACCCGACCGCAGGGTAGGTCTTGTGTACGCACGTGTAAGCCGATCGAGGACGGTCGTTACTTACACGCGTGTCTACAAAACGTGTACTCGGCTCAACTTCCCAAATGTCTGACTTCCCGCCCTGACTTGCAACATGAGTATCGAAACCCCCCTTCGTATTACCGACCGCGAGTGCCTGAGAAATCAGGAATTCCGATAATATTGGGAATACTCTTGTTTGTCTGCGCGATCAAGGGCAGAGCCAACGAAATTCTCCTACCTAACAGTGAACGAACGTTTGTGCGAGTGGGAGATTGATCAGGCCTTGAGTCATATCCCCCATCTCCCCAACTGTCCCAGCTCATACACGTGTCACGTCGTAGCGGAACCCGGAATCATTGTCTTGGGGACCGAGTTTCCTCCCTATCACCGCATCCCGCCCTTCCACTCTCTGACCGTCGTCCCCTGACGTGCATTCGCTCTGTACTGGCCCCAACCTCGTGCTCGGAGTGCCTGCAAGACCACGATTACCGAGCCTCCGGTTTCATCCGACGAACCCGCTCAGAGGAAGAACGACGGGGCCACAGCCTTCGACTGAGACCGGCCATGTCGGATTCCGAGATCTGTGATGTGAAACGCCAACAGGTGATCAACCAGGGGGACAGTCATAGCGTCCCGGCGGTACACCAGATACTGGTCCCGCCCAGACGACGGAACCAACGAAGGTGGTAGCTCCGCCCTCCGAAGCGCAAAACGGAACTTCGATCCGCACCTACCCTCTTGCATTCCTATCCCTTAAACTTGCCACCGGAGATCTCAGTTCCGACCTGGGACTCCACGCCCACTTTCCTAAAATCCTTGGCACACCCCCTTTTCGCACTTCCAGGCCCACTCCCACTCCGATCTGGAAGCCGTGCCTGGTGTGAGGTTGGGGCATCACAGTGGGATGCGAGTTTCTCAACGAAATTGGCTAACTTATACTGTCGGATCAGAAGCTTAGTTTCTTAGGACCTTTCTACCATTTTCTGCGCCCGAATTGTGGCAAGATGCATACAGGCACGGTTGTAAATGCAGTCAGATACACTCGAGATAGTGCCTATGTGAGTACGCCCTTAGCCTGTAGAGTAGGAGCAGCGTAGGTTGCAGCCATGAGCTGCTGGGTCTTGGAAGACCTGCAGGCTTTTCCTATAAGCTAAGCTGGATGATGTCGAGGATCCCGGGGGCCAAGTCCCACTTACGCTGATTCTTCATTTCGGGCCGTTGATCCTCCGAATCTACGGTCAGAAGTTGAGATTTCAGGTAAGTGGGACTTGTCCCCCGGGCCCAGGATCCGGCCTCAAATTCTGTTTATGAAATGAAAGTTCAAAAAAGGAAAACAAATAGAAAAAGGGGCTCCCCGGACGGTACACGAAATGAAAAGAAAAACTACTTGTCCCTATCTACCATCCTGCGAAACCACAAAAAAAAAAAAAAAAAAAACCTACTTCGTTTTCAAGAACATCTGGCCGCACAGTGACCACAGGAAACCTGTCAGGAGAAAGCCGCGAACGAGCCTGCGCACGTGCCCCTTCCATACCCGCCTGCAACTCGCGAGAACTCGCAGCTCCTGGTTCTCTCGAGAACTGGCCGGTGGACGTGCTGTGAATCGCTGTGAGTCTGGGAAGACCATGCAAAGGGAGTGCGTCCACAATTTTGGACCTTAGCGCATGCCAGAACTCGCTACCGCGCTCCGGGGTGGACCTTAGCGCATGCCAGATCTCGTCAGTTCGAATGTGCTGTGGGGCGGTGAGACCATAAACGAAACGAAAGCCCCGCTATTTCGATGGTCGTTTCGTTTCGTTTCTTGTGCCGTCCGGCGAGGCCGAAAGAAGCAGGATCCCCCCCATCTTAGGGCCTCGCTCAATTACTGTCGACATGCACAAACGACAAAAAATATGGCCTTCTATCGTTCCATTTTCCAGGGGAAGGTTCATTCATCTCATTTCCCACATTCGGGGCAGTAGTGGAACGAGTCTCGACTTCGTTGCCCCTGGTTCACATCCTGCCGCGCCAATCGGCAGAGGAAACAAAATAAAAAGGAGTGAATCTGCGCACAGAAGCGCAGAGAATACATTCCTTACTGTTCGTAGTCCGAACGAAAAAAGGGAAAAAAAGAAGAGGATCAATCGTCCGTCTTCCGTTTCGTGTGCCGTGCGGCGAGGCCCATCGTTCTTCCTCCGGGTAGGGCGGAACAGCCACCTCTACGAGGGCATTAAAGTCCCGCCGCCAACCACCTACACCAAACACATCTGTGAGCTTCGTCTACCTAGCAGTTCGTCGGAGCAACCGGAATTCGTCGGAGCGGAGAGCAGAGGACAGGAGAAGAGAGGAGAGGAGCGGAGAGGAGAGAAGATAGGAGCGGAGAAGACTGGAGAGGAGCGGAGATAGGAGAGGAGAAGACTGGAAAGGAGGAGTCCGACAGGCGAAACGCGAAGAGGAGGAGATTACCGGCCGGCGTTCCGCGTCGTCCGGCGTGGACTGCAAGGCGCGGGCGGGAAGAACTTAGAGTGAAAATTCATAACCCGCTGCTTCTCAGATCCAGCTAGTACGCGAAGATTCTGAAGATGGCGGGCTCACAGTTACTCTCGGCCCTCCTTCTTGTCTCTTTCATCCTTCCTGCTCTTTGTCAGATCTCATCTTCCCTGCCTGCTCCGGGTTCTGCCGCTTCTGAGGTCTTGAACCCATCAGCTTCTGCTTCATCGCCAAGTCCCGATCCGACTGTGGCCCCTGCTATCGTGTCAGGATCGACGGTTCCCCCGATATCGATGGGAACAACTGCGGATGACCAAGGCTTACAATCTAGCGCGACTCCGTCGGCTCCGTCGAGCACGGGTATGTCTTCGGCTTCGACAAGTGCCCCAGACTGCAGCGCTGCGACAATAGATGCCCAGCACGCAGTGTGTATCAAGGTAAACCATACCTGCACCCCTGAGTGCAAAGCCGCTTTGGACAAAGTGAAGACCTGTACGGGTAGTGGGGCCGTCGAGAAGATGAAGGAAGCATGCCGGAGCGGAGCATCTTCTGTTTCGGCCAGTTTGATCATTGCCGCAATTTTCGCTATTATCGCCACGGCAGTTGCTTATCGGCTATAGACTATAGACTATAGTCTATAGCCGCTTAGCCGCTTATCGGCTATAGACTAACGGGCGAGCTTGACCCTCTAGAAGTATTACCCTAATAGAGGTGCATTTTGCCATTTTCTCCATAACCGTCGTTTTTGGATTGGAAGTTTGATTCCCTTCGTCTTCGTCATCGACAGCATGTTGCAAGCAGCTCTTCGACTCTTGGATGCGCCTGGTGGATTGTGGTTTAGGGTACAGAGAGAGAGAGAGAGAGAGAGAGAGAGAGAGAGAGAGAGAGAGAGAGAGAGAGAGAGAGAGGAGGTGGCATCGTAGGTAGCGCGTGTTGAGAAATAGAAGAGGTGGGAAAGGATTGAGGGCAGGCGCTTTCTCCCTGTTGAAGTAAAGGGAGGCTTCATAAGTTTTGTTCTTCCTTATTGGATTGGCCGTTAAATAAGGTGCTCTTACCGTATTACTGTATTACGGGCACGGGTTGCCACGACATGACACGTCTATTTTGCGTGTTGGACGTCTATGCATCGTATTACTGTATTACGGGCACGGGTTGGCACGACATGACACGTCTATTTTGCGTGTTGGACGTCTATGCATCATGATTATTCTTATCGTTTCCTGTGCTGAAGTAAAGGGAGGCTTGATACGTTTTGTTTTTCATTATTGGATTGTTCATTAAATAAGGTTTTTTTACCATCTGATTACGGGCACGGGTGGGCTGGACATGTCACATCCGTTTTGCCTGTTGGACGTCTATGCATCATGATGATGCTTCTCGCTTCTCGCTTTTCCCTTTCTTCTTCCTTTTCTTATCTTGTTTTTTTATTGTTCCCTTGTTGTTTTTTTTTTTTAGCGACATTGGTTTGTGTATCGGTTCAGAAAGACGAGTTTTTTTTTGTTTTTTTTTTTGAAGCTTTATTCTTCTCTGAATTGCACCTCACACTACCCACCTACCACTACTCCTAAGAGTATTTTGGAAGTGGACTTTCATTCGATTGATCGACTTCATCTGATGTGAATCATGTGATAACCCTATTATGTTTTTGGCTGGTGGGAAGGAAGGGGGGGAGGGAGGTGGGGAGGGGTGGGGAAGCGAGGAATCGCAGTGATTATAATAAGGGGAAACTACGCGAGAGTCACGAAAATGAGTTAGAATTGCGCTATGGGCCAATATACGGTTTCGAATTGCAGTTCAGGCGATGTATACAACCGAGCTTTCTGGCCAGGTACGGTGCCCAAAGTGCAATTGCAAACTGTATCTTGGCCCATAGTGCATTTGTTACTCGTTTTTGTGACTCTACTGAATTAGTTACCCTAATCCGTGACTCTTGCGTCTTTTCTATTGTTTTCTTTTCTTTTTCGAAAAAAGAGGTGCGACGGCTTTGCGATATGATGAATATTGAACCGACTGGCCTTTTTTTTTGAAAAAAGTAATTCAGGATTGTAGTATTTTACTCACTTGCTTGTTTTACACGTTTGCTTGGAGTGGAGTTCGAACTCAACAGTTCAAGGGTGAACCAACTGAGCTAGGGCACGAGGTCTCTTGCGTTTTTTTGTCTTTTTTTCTTTTTTCTCGTTTCTAAATAGAGAGACGGCCTTGAGATATCGTCATCGAGCTGACCAGGCCCAGGCAATTCAGAAACAGTTGGTTTTACTCGTCATATACCACCATCTGGATTCGAACTGGGGTCTGCATTGCAACAGTTCATGTGTGTACCCACTGAGCTACTACCGGTTTGTGTCTATTCTTTTTTTGTGTGTTGGAAAGTATCTGGATTCGAACTCGGGCCTGTATTGCAACAGTTCATGGGTGTACCCACTGAGCTACTACCGGCTTCCCACGAACATAACGCACCCTAAAAACGAATATATACAAGTTATATTTCCGGCCAGATACAGCCAAATGAGCGTGCGTTGTGTTCGGCGGAAGTTGTTAGGCTCTTGGGTTCTTGCCTCTTTTCCGATCGCTTGCGGAGTGCCTTCAAACCGGGGATGCCTTCGAATAGCAGCTAACCGTCTTTTCGCCGATAGGAATTACGGTCAATAACAATTTGTCACTGCATGTTGACTAAAATTGGGCCAAATACAGCTTTAAGGACGGTGCGTTCTACTCGGGGAGAAGACAATATTGCGGCTACTGTAGGTCGGTGGGAACAGGCTGGTTACTGACGGTAGTCTCGCATCAGTTCCGTCCCCTGGAGCATGGTTCCACTAGCAACGGGGATTAGACTACGATCCTGAATCTGGGCGTGTTTTAGGCCGAGATGCAGAAAAGGAGTTCAATCTCGGCTTTCTGCACTTGTCGACAAACGCGGCCAGATTCAGGCGTTCAATCCAATCCTATTTGCTCCTGGTTTCGACAAAGGGCCGATTCACACTAGTACCGCCTTCACCCAAGTAGAACGCCCGGTCATTATAGCTGTATTTGGTGGAGCTTTCAGTCTAGATGCAGTGATGATGACAGGGCCTTTTATTCGGGTGAAGACGATAGGGCTTTTCTGAACGTATTTGACCCCTGTTGTGGCCAAGCATGGACGTATCTGGTCGCATTCGACGTCCAGTGCCGACGTGAAAAAGTCCTTAGGCTTAAAAAAAAAAAAAAAAAAAGTCCTTAGGCTTAAAAAAAAAAAAAAAAAAAGTCCTTAGGCTACCGGTAATGCGAGTGAGCCCGAACGAACTCCTCAGGGGTGGCACGGTCTCACAAGGCCCTCCATCCAAATCAGGACTTTTTTACTTGTTCCTGGACGTAATTGCCGTCAGATACATTCAGGACTGGCCTTAAATGCGGTCAGCTACATTCAAGATGGTGCCTATTAAGTTGAGGACGCCCTCCCGCGTCTACACCGTGTCCAGCCTCTGCAAATCTTTGCAAGCTAATACCTTTCTAGGCCTTTTCCCTTTTTTTTTCTAAGGGAGGGGGGGGAGGGACCACTTCTCGATTTGTGTGTCATCCTTGCGCAAGGGCCATGCTTACCCTTCTCTGTATCGTTGCTTGTTTTTTTTTGGTTTTTTTTTTTTTTTTGCTTGTTTTTATATAAGGGTGACAGCCTTGAGATATCATCATCGAACTGACCGACCCAAGTTACTTCCGAGTTGTAGTGTTTTTTGCTCATCTGCTTCCACTGGGGGTCGAACTCAGGTCTGTATTTCAACATTTCAGGGTGCGAATCAGTATTTTGAACTGACCAGAACAGATCCTACAGCTAGATTCTTACAAAAACATATAAAATATAAATTTTAATCAAATGCCATCTTTTGCTAGCTTTGAAGATGTGATTAAAGCAAGGGTAAAAAAACATAGAAGATATAACATCGTATGAACTCTCGAAACATAAAGCCAGGTCAGGGCTGTATTTCAACAGTTGAGGGGTAGGATCTACGGGGTTCTCCGTAATATTATAATGACAAAAAAAAAGCATTGAAAGGCCGGCCTGTCCAGATTCCACAGATCCCTATGTCCCCGCAATATTAAAATGAGCACACCCTACCTAACTGCAATTGAAACTGTATCTTGGCCCATAGCAGTGCAATTATAACTCCTTTTTCGGGACTTCTGCGTAGTTTCCCCTTAAATGAAATCAATGAATGGGTTTGTGTTGGCCAAAGCCACTGCTGTTATGCTGTTGGGGGGTGAAGGAAGTAGATGGGAGAGCAGCTACTGGCACACTGCTCGGCCTTTGCATTAGCCAGGCCACCCTACCGGCCCCCGACCCCCGACCCCCACCCCCTACTTCCTGACCACTGCCCATTTGGGTGGGCGGCAACATGCATCCCCCTAAACATCCAGTACTTGGCCCAGCTATGAAGTTGGAGTCTCGACCGACTGGTATGCCGAGCCGTGCTGAGGCTGGATCTACCGGGCGTTCACTTCCATGGCCTACTTGCAGAAGAAAACGGGGGAAAAAGAGAAAAAAAAGAAAACAGTAGGAAAAAACACGCAGTTCCTGAAAAGAGAGAAGTTGTGAAAACTGGCACTGCTTCAAACCTTCACGAGTAATTTTAGAAAATAGAACGCCCCGTCATTATGGCCGCATCTAGACTGAAAGTTGCACCAGATACGGCGATAATGACCGGGCGTTCTATTCGGGTGAAGACGGTAGTTTTGAAATCCTCTGCGCAAAACATGCATTGACCACTGTCACAAAAATGTCAGCAAAAAAATGGCTTTTCCTGGTGCATAACGGAACAGATGCAGTGCAAAAAAAGGTACACATGTTATTGCCTTAGGCTACCACAGTGGCCTGGGACCACTTGCCTGGCCGGGCCAAAAGAAAAAAATATAAAATTAAAAATAAACTGTGTTTAAATTTTGGGAAAATTTGTCTGGCGCCCCTGTATTTTGCATTATTTTGCGTCGTGCCCCTCCGACGGCCGGTTTACCCTATCGCGCCCCTCGGCCAAAAAATATTTTCAGCAGGCCCTTGTCCGTGGTGACCGCAACTTTCCAGGACGCCCTCCTTCGACTGGTGGTCCCATTTCTGTCGGGCCCTGTGCCATATGCCCTCATGAAGGGAAGCCATCTTTCTGCAATGCCCCCGCAGACGGGAGGCGCTACAAATTCGAATTCGATTTCAAACTGTGCCCATGTGTTGCAAATTGCTGGCGCGCAAAGTAGTCACAGGAGAGAGAGAGAGAGAGAGCGAGAGAGAGAGAGAGAGAGAGAGAGAGAGAGAGAGAGACACGGCGAGTTTGCTGTGACACTCTGCGCAGCTCGCCGTGCATCTCTCTCTCTCTCTCTCTCTCTCCTCTCTCTCTCTCTCTCTCTCTCTCTCTCAGTTCGAAGTTGCAAATAGGGAATGAATCTTCCCGTGTTCGTGGAAATATACATTCAGGTGTTGCAAATTGCTGGCGCGAAAAGTAGTCACAGGAGAGAGAGAGAGAGAGAGAGAGAGAGAGAGAGAGAGAGAGAGCCACGGCGAGTTTGCCGCGGCACTCTGCGCAGCTCGCCGTGCATCTCTCTCTCTCTCTCTCTCTCTCTCTCTCTCTCTCTCTCAGTTCGAAGTTGCAAATAGGGAATGAATCTTCCGGTGTTCGTGGAAATATACATT